GAAGTTTTTTTGTTGAAGAATTGCCACTTTTAAGTCTGTTACTGAGTGTCCAGGAAGATTGAAGTGCTCGCCTACTGGTTTTTTAATTTTACAATTCTTGATGTCTGATTTGTGTCCATTTATTCTTTTGCGTAGAGACTGTCCGGTTTGGCCAATGTACATGGCAGAGGGACATTGCTGGCACATGATGGCATATATCACATTGGTAGATGTGCAGGTGAATGAGCCCCTGATGGTGTGGCTGATGTGGTTAGGTCCTATGATGGTGTCCCTTGAATAGATATGCAGACAGAGTTGGCAACGGGGTTTGTTGCAGGGATTGGTTCCTGGGATAGTATTTTTGTTGTGCGGTGTGTAGTTGCTGGTGAGTATTTGCTTCAGGGTGGGGGGCTGCCTGTAAGCATGGACTGGCCTGTCTCCCAAGGTCTGTGAAAGTGAGGGATTGTCCTTCAGGATAGGTTGTAGATCCTTGATGATGCGTTGGAGAGGTTTTAGTTGGGGGCTGTAGGTGACAGCTAGTGGCGTTCTGTTACTTTCTTTGTTGGACCTGTACTGTGGTAGGTGACTTCTGGGTACCCACTTCTGGCTCTGTCAATCTGTTTCGTCACTTCACCAGGTGGGTATTGTAGTTTTAAGAATGCTTGATAGAGATCTTGTAGGTGTTTGTTTCTGACTGAGGGATTGGTTGTATCTTAGAGCCTGGCTGTAGACAATGGATCATGTGATGTGGTCTGGATGAAAGCTGGAGGCATATAGATAAGTATAGTGGTCAGTAGGTTTTCGGTATAGGGTGGTGTTTATGTGACCATTGCTTATTTGCACTGTAGTGTCCAGGAAGTGGATCTCTTGTGTGGACTGGTCCAGGCTGAGGTTGATGGTGGGGTGGAAATTGTTGAAATCCTGGTGGAATTCCTCAAGGGTCTCCTTCCGATGGGTCCAGATGATGAAGATGTCATCAATGTAATGCAAGTAGAATAGGGGCGCTAGGGGACGAGAGCTGAGGAAGCGTTGTTCTAAGTCAGCCATAAAAATGTTGGCATACTGTGGGGCCATGTGGGTACCCATGGCAGTGCCGCTGACTTGAAGGTATACATTGTCCCCAAATCTGAAATAGTTGTGGGTGAGGACAAAGTCACAAAGTTCAGCCACCAGGTTTGCTCTGTCATTATCGGGGATACTGTTCCTAATGGCTTGTAGTCCATCTTTGTGTGGAATGTTGGTGTAGAGAGCTTCTACATCCACAGTGGCTAGGATGGCACCATAAAATTAGGCCTGAATAAAGACTGGAAGTGGATGGGTCACTACAAAAAGCAATTTTCCCTCTCCTGATATTCACCCCTTCTTGTCAACTGTTGAGAATCGGCCACTTCCACATTAACTGAATTGGCCTAGTTAGCAGTGATCCTCCTCTTCGTAAGGCAACTCCCGTCTTTTCATGTTCTCTCTCTCTCTCTCTCTCTCTATATATATATATACACACACAGCGTACTGTATTTTTCACTCCATGCACCTGATGAAGTGGGTTTTAGTCCACGAAAGCTTATGCCCAAATAAATGTGTTAGTCTCTAAGGTGCCACAAGGACTCCTTGTTGTTTTTATAATGTTTTAGCAACTCATCAGCCCACAAGCCATATTTCCCCTTCCAGTGACAGATCCTGTCACAGCAAACTGTACAGATTTCATAATATACTGTACTTATTCTTAATTAGTACATACTGATGTTGCTATCTAAGGTATCAAAGAGTCACTGTAGTTTTCCTTTAAGAGGAGTTCAGACTTCATTACATATTATAACCTACTTCCCCCAAAACAACATACAAATATATTAACAATTTATAAGGTACAACATTTAAAAAAATATTCAGTTATGGCATTTTGTTCCTGTGCCATATAGCACCGTATATACAACAGTTGCAGAAAACAACAGCTGTGACCATTGAACAGAGATAATTATGAAAACTTCTTAAGCTTCTCTTCTGACTTCATCTGAGGTTTTGCATTATTTGTTCTCCCTCACCTATATCCAACTGAAGTTAATTATTCACCATTTTGGGTTAGAAATAAATAGGCAACTTCAGTCTGTGAATAAGGAAATGGAAACTGTTCATAAGGAACTGGAACAAAGTAACCAGCTTTAGCATTGTTTTATATATTTTCAGTTGTCCAGGAAATCCTGACTAAACTGATTTTGGGCCCAAGCATGGGAGCTTCGGGTGCTCAAGAAATGCAGAAACAGAGCCTTTGTGTGTAAGTATAACACAACTCAGGTACATCTTTGTGAAAGTACAACTGTGAATTGCACTTGTTTTTTGCTTCACCTCCTATGAAAGCTGGATCAGTTTTAGTCCAATTAGTTACTTTTCCTTTAGAGAGATCCAAGCAAGAATTCATTATGTTATGACAGGGATCCACAAGCTTTATCAAAGAGTTGCCCCCATCTTTAAAAAAAAAAAAAAAAAAAAGTCTCACGGATCACCTGACCTACAACCATTCTTCCCCTCCCCTATTCATAACCATGCAACATTCCTTTGGCAACTATAGCAATTGCTTACATGGAAAAGTAACATTAGGAATGTATTTAATGAATTTATAGCTTCTTGTAATAATGCAAGTTGTACAAGGAAATAGACAAGAGCCTATGCCATGTGACTAACCAACTTTCCAGTCCACCAGCAAATGCTCTGTGATCCACAGTTAGAGTACTGCATTGCTATAATATATAATAAAAGGTGTTAAATAATGTGTACTAAGTGACTAAAAATATGGCCAGTTTGCAGCACAGTGATGTTATGCTATTAATTGATAAAAATACCCCACATCTATACTCAAGTGTTACTGAGGCAAATTTCCCCCCAACTTCAAGAGGGCAGTTGTGTCTGAGGGAATCTTGAGTAAACAAAGCAAAATGAAGAAATGAAAAACCTCTTAGAGAAGTCTGAGAATTCACAACATAAACTGTGACGGCACTGTGCAAATATGTTTTTAAAACCAAAGTTACAAACAAACATGAGATTTTTGAAGCCAAAGATATTCACCAGTTAAATACATTGTGTAAACCCTTCAAAGTCCATAAATAATTGATATGTGCATTTTGCGTGAGCGCGCACTCTCTCTCTCTCTCCCCCCATTTTTGAAATACCTGGTTCTGCATCCATATCAAGTGCTGTAATCAAGACTCAGCTGAATCACCAAAATCACAACAAAGACTCTCAAATTATCTCCATGTGCAGCTATTTATTTTCCAGTCCATACACAGCCGTATATGTGAGAGGAGAGTACAGCAGAACCTCAGAGTTATGAACACCAGAGTTACAAACTCACCACTGAACCACACACCTCATTTGGAACGGGAAGTACACAATCAGGCAGCAGCAGAAACCAAAATAAATTAAATAAATAAATAAAATTAAAGCCAGTACAGTACCGTGTTAAACGTAAGCTACTAAAAAATAAAGGGAAAACAGCATTTTTCTTCTGCATAGTAAAGTTTCAAAACTGTATTAAGTCAATGTTCAGTTGTAAACGTTTGAAACAACCATAATGTTTTGTTCAGAGTTACGAACATTTCAGAGTTACGAATACCTCCATTCCCGAGGTATTGGTAACTCTGAGGTTCTACTGTAATATCAACAGCCCATGTACTAAAACTGAATATACTAAAAGAAGTTACTTCATATCTCATGGCAGTATTTTTAGTGACCTGCAGTGCCTATTCAGTGCAAAACTTCCAGTAGATCTCATGGTTTGCAGTTGCTATATAGGCAGTGCAGAATCATTCCATTGCATTGATTCCATCCCTAGAATGTTATTTTCTGCTCACGCTGGTTCCTGCAAAAAAGCCTGGTTACTTGAGCTTGGTGAGGGAAGGAAGCTGATGAGTTTTACCCACCTTCTGTATCCACAATGCATGTAAAACATCTCAAAGTCATGCCCCCTTACTGATGACGTAGTAGGTTCCTGAGACTGTTAAAGAAAAGTATGTGTGCAAGTGCACACATCAACACATCTTAAAGCTACCCACGCAACACATACGTCGCAGCTGGCAATCACTGCTTCATCGATCTTATTTAGAGAGTGTGTGTTCTAGGGTAGTGCCACATTTTGAAAAAATGTTCATGAACATATTTGTGAAAATGTTCACAATTTTCTTTCAGATGATTTTGCACCTGTGCATGTAGATTTTTGCATCAAAAAGACACAACAATGTGGATTTCTCCCTATTTTCATGGCTTCAAAAAATTGCTTTAATTTCACGAGCAATTTGACCCCTTTTGCAGGCAAATTTTCATTCATTTCCTTTTGACAATTTTCTGCAACACATGCAGCCTCTTTTCAATTCTGGAACAAAATACCTGAGAGGCAGGTGACAAACTGTTATGACTGTGATTGCTGCTACCCACCAGCTTACTTCTAAAAATTGAGCACAAGCTAGTCTGTACTAACATTTCCTGTTATTACTGTCACTTCAACTTCCCTGCCCCATTGTTTATGTCACCTGCCTGCTATGTCTTCTCTTCAGGCCCTGACTCAGCAATGTGAAACACACACCTGGAATGCCACCAGGGGAGACCTAGTGGAATCAACAAGCAGGCCTGTGTGCAGGGGAGCAGTCTGCCCACCTGAAACACATTGCAGGATCTGGATCCTAGCTTTTAAGTTCTTCAGGGCTGGGCCCATTTACTGTTTGTACAGCACCCAGCACAAGGGACCCCAATCTAGCTGCTGGCTATAGGCGCACCCAATAAACCAATAACAGGCTGCAATGCAAGCCTTGATCATATGGCTGGGGGGAAACTCTCCCCTCTTTGCTTCCTAGGCAAGGCAACTACTTCTCTGCACGCAGCCATGCGGACAAGGCGCTGTGGCTGGCTGGAGGGTGTTTGCGGTGGCTCAGAGACCTGCGAGGGGCTGGCCCAGGGCAGCTGAGTGACAGGCGGCTGAGGAAGGGGGCGGGGAGCGAAGGGGGCGAAGGAACTCGTGTCGGAGCTAGCAAGTCCTGCCCAGCTGTTTGCGAAGTTTTAAGATTTCCTGTTTCCCTCGCGGCGCTGAAGCGAAGCGGAGTGAGTCAGCCCAGCCCAGCCGCGCGGCGTCCCGGAGCAGCCAGCCCAGCCACAGCTGCCGCCGCGGCGGCCTCGCCTCTCTCCCCGGCCGGCCCGGGGTGCAGCCCTCGGCCCCCCCAGCAGAGGAGCCCCACTTCTTGCCTCGGCTTCCTATGCGGAGCGGGCTAGACCATGAGCCGGGATCTCCTCCGGAGCCTGTGGCTGCTGCTCGCTTGCTCGTGCTGGGCGCTCGTCGGCAGCACCATCCCCCCTCAGGCGCGGGGCTCAGGTAAATCGCAGTCCCGTCCCCCCTTCCCCTTCTTTGTCCGGGGCGGCGGCGACCCTCCAGGCGGCTGTGCAGCGGGCGATGCCGTTCGCTTGACAGCTGCAGGCGGCAGGGGAGCGGCGCTGGCGAGCCCCGGCTGGGGCTGCGGAGTTCGGGGGTTCGCCGAAAGGGGTTCGCCGGAGAGGCTGGGCGGGTCGGGGCTCGACCGAGGAGCCCTGGCCCGGGCGCTGGCAGGAAGCGCGCGGGGGGTTGCTCTGAGGCGAGCCTCGCCCGGGCCCCGGGGAAAGCGTAGTTCGGAAGTTGGCTACTGCCTGTCCCGGGGTTATCGGGCGGCGCGCAGCTGCAGCAGCCTCCGCACCTGGCCCCAGGGTGAGCTCTGGGTGCTGGGGGCCCTCCTCGCAGGAGCAAAGCGGACTCCCGCCCGCTGTCTTGCTTCTCGGGCTGTGTGTGGCAGTTGGATTAGGATTAACCCGCTCACCTGTGTGCTGCCCTCTGGGGATGAAAAGCGCTTCTCTGAGCCCAGGCGGCACTGTTGTTCTAGGAACCTGACACCTGGGATGCAGGTAAAGGGCATTCAGAAAGTGGCGCTCAAACTGAGTTAATCTTAGATCCTATTAAAGCCCCCAGAGTATTATTAGGCTCCAGCACACACACACAGACAGTGTGTATCCCTGATTTGCTGCCTGGGCCTTGCCATGGGTCTAGCTCTGTGTAAAGTGATCTTGCAAAGCATGCAGCAGTGTCTTAAAAGTTGTTGAATTTTTTTTTTTTTGTACAGTCACTGCATGCAATTGAGAATTAAGCACTGGTTGTGAGTAGTTGCACTGAGAATTCTCAATTCATTTCCTGCCATTGCAGAGGCCTTGGGCATTGGTGGCACCTTGGTCTCTCCTGTATTCTGCCTATGGCACATACAGTTTAGTCTTCTGAGGACTGAAGTGCTTTGGTCTTTGGGCTTAATATAGGGGTATCTTAGTGAAATTTAATGGTCTGTGATATACAAGAGATCAGGCCAGATGAACTGATGGACCCTTTTGGCCTTAAACTCTATGAAACTTCAGACATTCCTTCAGTATTCAAAGCATTCCTAAAAGTTAATGCCTGGTTTGTGTGGTTTTTCATTACACTTCACATCCCTGTGTTGGAAATTTTTAATTGCACTGTACATCTCTGGATATTTTTAAGGCCATGGCTCATATTACTGTTATTAATATATTTATTTATGTTGTGCAAAGAGAGAGCAAAGTGCCTTACAGACTTATGTGAAAACAAGGTTTGCTGGTCTGAAAACTTGCAAACTGGGGATCTAATCCCACAAACACTTATCCTGGTGAGATCTCAGCAGGACTACTCACATGTGTAAAGTTATCTGTAAGTGTCCAGAGGATTAGGCTCTAGAACATGTTATTGAAACTGGTGTTGCCTGTTAATTGTGAGGGGTCCATTAATAAAGGGATAAAAGACTTCAGATTGCTGCAGAACTGAATTCTAAATGTTTAGCTTCTGACTATTGATTTATCCTCCAAGGTGCATATTAGCACTAAACATCTATTCTTAGGTCTTTAAGATGTAATCACTGCACAGACTGTTTAGTGTTTCTGAGTCCTCAGATTCCTTCATTTGGTCTGTAGAGACCAGCAAAAACTTGAGAATTGTTCCATATTGATAAAATACACTACAAAGAGAACTACCATGTAAAGTCTCAATCCTACACATACTTTGGCACTTGAGTAACTTTGTGCATGTAAGTAATCCTGTTGAAGTCCCAAATATGTGTGACATTACTTGTGTATATAACTGTTTGTAGGTTTAAGGCATAAATATACAAAAATAGTTTAAACTTTGTGTCCTGAAGAAGTTCATTATCTGAGGGCTGACCATAATGTAAGAGCTTTAAATGTGATATGTTTAGCTTTGTTTGAATTTTGTTTACAATTATATCATTTTTGACTAATAAGTGGCAAAACCCAATAAATGATGATTGTGGTAACTTTCATTTAATCATCAGAATAAAAGTTGCTCTGGGTAGGTTCTTGTGACACAAAGCCTCAGTGAAAAAGCAATGCATCATTTTTCATCTTCTTTATTGTTTCTTTTTTAGTATATTTTTCTGAAAACCAATTTAGACAGATTTAGTTTAGAAAACGGATAAAAACTGGAGATAATTTAAGAACATTTTTCTGTTCTCTGCTCACTCAAAAGAAACTTTTACTAAAAACGATATTCAGAACACAGTTAATATACTTCTTAAAATTTAGACTATTACAGTATCTGAAATATTATCATTTCATATTCTGTTACTCCTTAGGCATCACAAAGTTTGTTGAAAATACCCTTTTTTGTAATGATCTTGGGATTTCATAAGAATTTTAATAATATTTGTAGCAGGTGGACTTCCAAGCTAAAAACGTATCTGCTTTAAAAAAGATGCTCTATTATTATCTATAGACTAAAAGGCCTTTGCTCAACACCACTAGTTATAATATCTTCACCAAATGGAAGAATAAAGAAATATTTTTGAAATTATTATGAATGCCACAATACAAGTTTAACTGATGAGGGACAGTGGGGCCAGGTATGTGTAATAAATCTGCACCTATGTACAAGAATGGAGTGTAACTTTTCTATTTTGGGTTCTACTTGAAGAACCTGAATTTATGTTTGGGGGTCTTGTCACACATCAGCCTTCAGTTCTGTAGAATGAAGGCTCAGCCCCTCAATCCAGTTAAATTTTATATTTTTGTCTTAGTTTTAAAAAACATCTGAGTACATTTCCAATCATTATTTATGTATTTGTTCTAATGCCATCTCATAGTCTCTCAAATGAGAATAGTCTACATAACACAATCCCCCTGCACCTTTTTTTTTCCTTTGGTATTGTAGGGAAACCTGTGTATAGTACACTCAAATATTATAAAAACAATCCCACTTCTATTAAAGCCAATGGCAAAATTCTATTTATTTCAGTAGGAATAGGAGCTAGGTCATAGTGTGATTCCAGTTAGTTTTAATTGTGTTGCATCTTTGATTTTTGCATTTCCTGGACCATGAGAATAGGCTAGCAAATTTTACTTGACCTTCTAGTGAAATTCTATTTCAAGTTCTCCTGTATTATTGCAATTCTGCAATCTTTGGTTGGCAAATGCTGTTTAACAATGATTAAATAGATCCTTAGCTATTGCAAGTTGATGTAGCTTCATTGACATCAATGGATTTACACTCATTTACACAAGCTGGGGATCTGGATACTGTTACAAATGGAATGTTTAAAAAGTTAATGGAACCGTTTATGTTGGTTTTTAGGTTTTATTTTGTTTTGCACTTAGGTTTTGTAAAAACTTCTTACTATACATCTAAATTAAATCTGACGGTGGTCCTTCAAAACCATGTCCCTTTTTCATGTGAAGAAAATTATTCATGTTTATTTGCACGATTGATCCTTTAGGGAGGATTTCCATCTATGTACTGTAAACATTTGTCATATAGCAGCTATTCTTCTTTCTGTCAGGAAAAAAAAAGAGCTCAGTATCATTGATGAGGTTTCCCAGATTTCCTCTGCAGGACGCTTTTAAGTGGATATTTTTAGATTCATGGTATGAGCACTTTTTCCTCGTAGTGCTGTATCACAGCTGCAACGCCATGTGCTGTATTCTCTTTGCAGTTACACCTGTTTTACACCACTATGATTCCATTGGCAGCTGTGGAGTTATGACCAACGGACACTGGTGTAAATGAGCAGAACTAATTCCTGCCTGATTCTTCACTGCCTTGCACCTAGTGGAGCTATTTGCGTCCATGCAAAGTGAGCGTAAAATGGGCTTGATTCTGATCTGTACCCGAGGCTCACTCAATTCAGCTGAGTCTGTGGAGTCAAAAGCTTTCAGATGCCTTTGAAACACTTGGGCCCATCTGGAGCTCTTTGTGGCATCTAGCATAATTTAGGGTATTCTCAAGGCCACTCGTAAGTTATCCTCATTTTTGGGGCCATTGTTGCAGTTTCAGATCACTGGAATGGAAACGTATGTTGAGAATATTATCTTTTTCCAGGAACAGCCCCTACGAAAAGGCAACATAGCCAGCTGTGTGTTAGCTCTACACCATCCAGCGGTTCCTCCACACTAGGGAAATCCTCAACTGAGCAGATCCCTTGGGTGTCAGCAGCTTTGCACCTCCATAGCAGTGCAGATCAGGTGGGATACAGCTGAGTATCTGGCTCAGTTTGTACTGCTGTAAGTGACAACATGGCACTTTTAATGCAAAGCAGTGGAGAATCAGTTCCTCTGTGGTGAAATAGTAAATCTGTTTAAGCCCTGCCTTGAAAGAGTCAGTCCCTTGGCTTTCATCTAGGTTGCTTACTAGGTTTTAGGCCTCAAATCTGGTCAGGGGTATATTGTTTTCTACTAGACAGTAGCAGTAGAATTTACAAGTTCTTGTAAGCAAGAATAAAAATTAAAAGTGGATGATCTTTACTTGAACAAGCCTAATCCTAGAGGACGAAAATAGCCCAAAATATATTAGAAAGAATGTTTATCTATAGGTTATTCAGCTAGTCCCTTTTGACTTTCAGCTCCAGGTCGATGGGATAAGAGTTACTTTAAGAAATTAAGGGCCCAATCCTGCAAACAACTTACTTCTGAGCATTTTGTTTGTTATGTGAATAGTCCGATTGAAGTTCCTGCTTACGTGAGTGTAAGAACTGAGAGGGGTGTTGCAGCTATGTCAGAGTGCAAAGGGACTATTCGGTGTTGTGAACGAGACACTCTATGCTAAATGTTTGCATGAGTGGGCTCTAAGTGATGAAAACACAATTTTCAGTTAGTATTTTTCTTGGGTGTATTTTTCAGTACATAGACAGGACGGCAGAACTGATATCAGTTAAATGTAGCACCCACTTATCACCCACTGTCTGAAATGGTGCAACTGTAAGTAATACACAAAGTTTAGGTCTGACAAAAAGCTATATACAGAAAAATGGACTATTTCAAACATAATAGAACAATCAAACATTTTTTCTAATTAGGGGCCATTGTGTGTGCGCTTAATTCCATCTCTGTTTGTGATAGGATTTAAGCACATGGTTAAAAACTATTAACTTCAGTAGGATTTAGCAATCCTTAAAGTTAAGCATGAGTTTAAAGTGAAGTCTCAGTTCAGATGCTTTCCTGAATCAGTCCTAATATTACTTTGGTTACTGTATAACAAGTTTAGCAACAGTCCAAAATTGTAAGAAACGGTGGCATTGGAAGGAAAAAAACTAATTCCTAGTTCTGTTTTTTTTACTTCTGTCTGTGTGTGTTTTAAATATCCCAGTTCCTTCATCTTTGTCTTCTTGTAATTGCAGTTTGTTATACCTTTATCTAAGTTTTCTGTTACATCCCATCTCCTCCCTTTATATTGATATTAGAGCCAGTTTCGCCCCTGGAATGATTGTTGAGGAAAATTCTTTTGCTGAAACAGCTGGCAGTTAGCAAGCTTTTCCTGCTGGCATCCATCCCTAAGTTACCCTGATTAGAATGGTCTTCTTTCATTTGTTCCTCTTGTCTTTTTTGGATGAGTGGCATCATTAAGAATGAATGGAGTTTCTAGTCTGTTTCATATCATAATAAAAACAAACTGTTATATTGTATATAATAAACCATAGTTATTTAGAACTGGTCCAATAGTCCAGTGTTCATGGGTCCAGTTCTTCACACACTTGCCTGAGAGTAGGTCAAGAGCAACTCCATTGAAGTAATGGAGTCATTCTAAAGTGATACTGATGTGAGTGAGAGGAGAATTGGGCTCAGTCCTCCACAGCTGCAGCCAGATGGGTTGAGTGTAAGGGTAGACGCACCTCTGTAACTCACAGGAGCATCTGGTTCCTGATATTGAAAACATTTTTTATTTTAAACCTACATCCATACCAAGGGTTAATGTTTTGCATTTAACTCACAAGCTAACTTGAAACTATAGCTATTCGAAAGCTATCTTCCCCCCCCCCCCGCCTCATTCCGCTTGTATCAAAGGACTCTCTCTTTCGGTCTTCACAGAAGCGCCACATCCTTGAGACAACGCACCCAGCGGCTCTCATCTACCTTTACTGCACTGTGTGTTACATTATGAGCATGACTGAGAGTAGAATGTTCACTTTTCACAGGTGCAAATGACTACATAAGAAACCAGCTGGTGGTGAATCAGGCCCATCATGTTTGTGAAGTCACGTAAACACTTATATTAGCTGGGATGGGGTGAGGGGGGTGGGGTATCTGCACACATTTTTTGTTAGGACTTAGGTGATAATATCTGGAGTCCAATTGATTTTAATATGGATATTGTATGTGATCATAATGGCTCCAAGATTATTATTTTTTATTGTTACTCTTTGTGTTACAGCAACAGCTTGAGACCCCAACTGAGAGCAGGGCCCCATTATTCTAGGCATTGTACAACCACCTAGTAAGGGACAGTCCCTGCCCCCAAACAGATGTACATTGACCTCAAATAATACAATGTAACAGTCCTTTCAGAGCCTTTGCATTGTGTGACCTAATATACTATTACAATTTATTATTTGTATTGCTGTACTGAAGAGAAATATTCTAAAGTAGGAGAGCACTACGTTCTATTAATATATGCTTTGCACTTATAGAATGCTTTTCCTCTGTACATTTCAAAATGTTTTTATAAAAGTGGTTAAGCACTAATAGCCTGATTTTTAAAGAGGGGGAAACTGAGACATTGAGAAGTTAAAGTGTGATCCTAATTTGAAAAGTAACTGTAAACATGACATTGTAGTATAACTGTTTTATTGACTCTCGGCAAATTCCAGATCAAATTTTGTGCTTTTTGTGTGTATAATAAATAAGCGTATCTAACTGCCACAAGTTCAACCTGTGATTTGTAAGTCAAGCTGTGCTTTTTCTAGCTTATGCATTGTCACCAGTGATAGAGGTTCTGAAAGATAATTTCTGCCCTATTACACCTGTGTAACCCCACTGAGGCATTGTACTGTTGTAACTGAGGGCATAATTTGGCTCTGCACTTGAACTGAATTCAAAATTCTGTTGATGCAGGTGCCAAAATAAAATCCATCTCACTCTCCCATGACTGTATTGCCTCTTCCAAGGAGTAAAAAGGAAGAAAAATTTATTTTTGTTCGAAAAGTGAGTGAATTTGACAAAATATACCCAGAGACCAGGTCTGTTAAGTAGGAAGGTGTCATTTTTTCAAAGCAACTTGCCAAGTAAAGACAGTATGGCTCTTACATGCACAGGGCACATTAATGGATGCCTTGGAAAACTAGCCTTTGTGCAAGCGAAGTACATCTAGGGCCAGGTCCTCATCTGGCATAAATCAGCATAACTCTACTGAAGGCAATGAAGCTACACCGATTTATATCAACTGAGGATCTGCCCCACAGAATTAATAACTGGCAACTGTGAGTTATGAGGCTCTAATTCCCTTGAGCAGACCTTTGTGATATCGTATCTTACAAGAGCCAAAATGATACAGTTCTCTTTCCCAGAACAAGAAAGTAATTTGGCTGCAGCATTTGGGACTCCCTGGAGCCTAGAGAGTAGAGATTTCAGGAGGCCACAGGAAGAGGGAATTTCCAGAATTCCAGAATGCTGGGACATGATCAAAGGTATGATTAAGGCTTTTAACTTGGGCAGAACCAAGGGGAGAATGAATTATGGCAATGTTGCAGATAGGGGAATAGGCAGACTCAGAAAAGGGAGCTGTGAGAAGCAAAATACTTTAATAGTATTTTACATTAATATAATGCCTTTCATTCCAAAGAACTCAGCATTTCAAAAATTATATAAGCATAAGAGGCACCTCCCCCTTGAGAGGTAGGCATTAGCAAGGTGGAGTGAAGGAGAAAGACTTTTCAAAGATAAACAGGTAAATGTTTATCCAAACTGTGCCAGAGGATTTTTGATAGGTCTCATCCAAAAGAGAGACAATTCACAAAAAACATGGTACTAATTTTGTTTACTTTGGAAGAAAGAAGGGCTGAGTCTGCTCTGCCAGAAATTAACCTGTGATTCCATTGAGTCTAGGTATTTCAGACCTGAGGGGTAGATAAGCCATTATCAATTTTCCTGCTGTCAGTATTCCAGCACTAAAAGTGTATGAGTCCGCATACCTGTTTTCAGACTTTTGGGGTGTCTGCAATTTCTGGATGACAAGAGGTTGAGGGTAGGAATTTTCTTAGCTCATTTCACTAACTACAGTAAGTGCATTTTTAATGCAATTTTTAGTATTATAGATCGTACAAGAAAGTGAAGTTTGGAACAGTCCACAGATGGAAACCATAACCCGCTAGTAATTCAGCCATTTTCAGGGGCAAAAATAGAAACTCTTGACCAAGGTTCTTCAAAGTGACTAAGGATTTTGGGTGCCTCCACATTTTAACACCTTGTGTGGTTTTGAGATACTTGAAATGAGCTTAATTTTCAGACGATGGATGGCTCAGTACTTTCTGAAAATCATACCCTTCAAAGTTTCTCACATCAGGCACCCAAAGCCACTAGTGACTTTTGACATTGTTGGCGATAAAAGTTGCTCATTAATCTAGAAAACCCCTTAGGACCTGTCTATACTGCAGCTTGGGAGTGAGCTTCCCAGCTCAGGTAGATAGACTTGTGCTAGTGGGGCTTGCGCTAGCGTGCTAAATATTAGCTATGTAGATGTTGCCACACAGGGAGAGGCACAGGCTCGCCGCTTGAGCTCAGAGCCATGGGGTAGCATGAACTTGAGCTCAGGCGGCGAACTTGAGTCTCAGCTGATGCGGCAATGTCCACACTGCTATTTTTAGTGCACTAGCTGCAAATATATGTACCAGGGTGAGAGGTTTGCTCCCAGCTGCTATGTAGTCATACTCATGGACTTAGGTGGGAGCTGAAATCACTTAATGCCTAGCAGGACTGGTCCTTATATTTATATATATTTTTTATGCCCATGAAAGAGACATCTCTATCTCCCAACTTCACAGAACTTGTTTGCGAGTTTTGGGTTTGGAGTATATCTGAAGCCATCATAATAATAATACTTAGCACTTTCCCCCTTAGATCTTGAAGTGCTTGTTGGTATGTCTAAGTATTTTATTTGCGTTTTTTAAAAAAATAGATGTATGGAGAGGGAATTATGATGTGGTGTAATTAGTACTTTTTCACTTAGTTTTTTCTCAGATTGCCTAGTCTTTTAAAATATTCCTTGGGTGGACAGAAATTGCTCCAAGTTTGCAATTTTGAGGCTGATCTTGATAGGTGCAAAGTACAGTAATTTTGCTTCCATTCATTCTGGAACTAGTAATTAGCCCAGAGTAGCACTTCTCTGTTATTTTGAGTAAGGCATTACATGACTACAAGGTGACTTGTGTTTTCCTTTGGCCCAAAATGTGAAGCAATATAAAAATATAAAAAACTTCTTCTTTATGTTTTCAGTGATTACATTGTAATTTGCCCCCCCCCCCTTTTCCTGTGGGAACATATTATAAGAGCCCTTATTCCCAACTTGACTCCATGGAAATCTTGCAGCATGGCTGTGGGTGTCTTGATGCCAACACCGCCCTCCCCCCGCCCACACACACACAGTGCCTGCTGAAGACCGCATAGGATGGGTCCATGATCAGAGAAGGAAATCTTTGAGATTTATCTTGTGGATTTTTCTTGAACCATCCTCTTTATGGGAGGGATATGGTGGGCTGTGGATTTTGGAGGCCACAGCTTCATCAACCCTATTGATCATGATTAGGAATGCTGTAATATATGAGGATGCAGAAGAGCTGTCATGTAGTGGTGACTGCTGCTCCACTGTCTCATTTACCTCTCATTGATTGGTTCGCAGCTCAAGCCAACATAATTTCTTTCCTCTTCATATTTCCACAAGGAAATACCACACTCTGGAGGGGGACTGTGTTTTGGAGCACAGCGCCTGCCCTGCAGCAACCCCTTCCTCCTCCACCCCTTCAACCCTATGGAGCTCCATCAGTGTGGATCTCTGATGGGCGGCATCCCTGTTGGCCAAGGGAGGGAAGGATGGTGCCATGGTGGTGGCACAGTAATTCCTCATCAGAATTTCTGGATGAAAGCTCCAAGGCCATCAGGAAGCCCAGTCAGTCTTGCATTGTTTCTCCTCTCCTATACTGTGCCAAGTTAAACAAGACACAGGACTAATCTGTTTCTCCATTTCTCCCCACTTAAGAGCTTCGATGTGTTATGAGTCATCAAGGAGCAGCGCTGGTGCAAGGTGGCCCTGCCTTGTGTTACTTGACCATTTTATGGCTCTTTTCTATCATGGCTCTTTTGATGGATATTGTATTGTGCAGCTGAGTTGTACTTCCTCGAACTTTGCTATTTTTGCAGGTGTTAAGTGCAGTGTGTTTTGTCACATGTGCTTACCAGTGGTGTCAAATTGGAAACACTGGTCTCTGTCCTGGTTGGTGAAGGTTGGGGGTGAATGCTATGAGCAGACCATTGTTCATTTGCAATCATTATAAAGTATCTTAACCTTCAAAGCTAATGTTGATACATCTCTGCTACTACCACTCACCACATGCATCAAAGTAGAAGAAACTGGCATCTACATTTTCCTCCTCCTCCCCCCCCCCCCCAGCTGTAGTCTGGCATGGACCATACCCACCAAGATAACTGTCTTCCTTCCCATAAAATGTGAACTTTATTTTAAAAAATCATGCATTTTGTGCTCATTAAATGGAGGAACAGATAACTTGGACGAGTGCATACCCCCAGTGGCGCTGGAACCCTGAAAGCCAGCCCCCTTATCCCAGCTGGGGCTGGGAGCAGTGTTGTGTCTCCAGGGGGGAACCCAGACAGAGGTAAGGGGGCAAAGGCTAGGGGTGGGCACGGGGCCAGTAGCAGAGTATCATTGGACTGACGCTCAGTATGGATTGTGTAGAGAATCGCTGAAGTGGACAAGCATCCGTTCCAATGATTGGAAGCTGAAGCTAGACAAATTCAGAATACAAATGTGCAATTTTTTTTTTTAACAGTGAAGGTAATTAACCATTAGAACAACTTATCTAGAGACTGGATAGATTTTTCCATCATTTGAAATCTTTAAATCAAGACTGGCTATCTTCTTAAAAGGTAAACAATGGCTCAAACAGAAGTTGTGGGCTTGATGCAGAAACTGCTGGTTTTGGCTCCTATCCTGAGTTATGCAGGAGGGTCCGACGAGATGAAAGGTCCTTTCGGGCCTTAAACCCTGAGAATCATCAGGTATTTGTTTAGCACCAAAAGGTGGTTTTACTTGTGTCCTAAGTCAGAATTTGGATTAGTATCTCCAGAAGCAACAAAGAGTTAAGCCACTCTGCTGACTAACCCCTATAAAGGACATTTCAAATATGTATGGGCTATAAAATTTTGCATCCACAGAATTTTAAAAATGTATCCTTTCCCATGGAGAGTTTCTTTTTGTTTAAATTACCATGTTGTTGAATATGGAAAGCTTAAGCATTTTTTGTGTTTTAAGGACCGTTCTGTTAAATGGATGTTCTCAGTTAATGCAGTGTTTGTGAAAAGTGCCAGACTGACAGCTCCAGAGAGTCAGCTCCTGTTGTTAGTGAACGCATACAGTAGCAGCAGAGCACGTTTCCCCACACTGCGATTTGCCCAACATTGAACAGGTTTTTCAGCTTCCATGTTCATTTAATGCTGAGCCTCCCTCCCCTCTGGGTATCAGTTGAAATGGTGTTTCTGTGATCTTATCATTAGTCCACTATGAACTTTATGGAGACCATCAAGTCATTTCATGTAGGCCACCAAAAGCTTAGAAAAAGTTTCCAGTTTCTCATAGACTTTAAGGCCAGAAGGGACCATCATAGAATCATAGAATATCAGGGTTGGAAGGGACCCCAGAAGGTCATCTAGTCCAACCCCCTGCTCGAAGCAGGACCAATTCCCAGTTAAATCATCCCAGCCAGGGCTTTGTCAAGCCTGACCTTAAAAACCTCTAAGGGAGGAGATTCTACCACCTCCCTAGGTAACGCATTCCAGTGTTTCACCACCCTCTTAGTGAAAAAGTTTTTCCTAATATCCAATCTAAACCTCCCCCACTGCAACTTGAGACCATTACTCCTCGTTCTGTCATCTGCTACCATTGAGAACAGTCTAGAGCCATCCTCTTTGGAACCCCCTTTCAGGTAGTTGAAAGCAGCTATCAAATCCCCCCATATTCTTCTCTTCTGCAGGCTAAACAATCCCAGCTCCCTCAGCCTCTCCTCATAAGTCATGTGTTCTAGACCCCTAATCATTTTTGTTGCCCTTCGCTGGACTCTCTCCAATTTATCCACATCCTTCTTGTAGTGTGGGGCCCAAAACTGGACACAGTACTCCAGATGAGGCCTCACCAATGTCGAATAGAGGGGAACGATCACATCCCTCGATCTGCTCGCTATGCCCCTACTTATACATCCCAAAATGCCATTGGCCTTCTTGGCAACAAGGGCACACTGCTGACTCATGTCCAGCTTCTCGTCCACTGTCACCCCTAGGTCCTTTTCCGCAGAACTGCTGCCTAGCCATTCGGTCCCTAGTCTGTAGCGGTGCATTGGATTCTTCCATCCTAAGTGCAGGACCCTACACTTATCCTTATTGAACCTCATCAGATTTCTTTTGG